CTAATAATAATAATAATAATAATAATAATAATAATAATAATAATAATAATAATAATAATAATAAAAAACAACTTAGGAAACGTTGGGTGCTTTTAACAGGAATTCAGCCATCAGCCGGAGATGTGCCAATCCTAAGAAAGGAGATGATCATATAATTGATTACTTACCTTTGTAAGAAACTTGAATGTAAAAAAAGGGAGAAAATGTATTTTTCAAAAATTGTACAGTTAAAATTATTCAATTTTACAGTTACATTTTTACAATTTAGTTTTATAGTTCACTTCAATTCAATTTTACTGTAAAAAAATTTCAATTAATTTTCCAATAGGTAAAATTAATTTTTTAAAAGTTAATTTTACCTACTGTGGGCTTCAACTGAATCTGAGCAGTTTACAGTAATAAAATCAGCACAATAAAAGAGAGCTAATGTGGTATAGCATTTAAGGTGCTGGACTTGGAGCAGGGAGACCCATGTTCTAGTTCACCTTCAGTCATGGAAGGTCACTGGATAACCTTGGGCCTGTCACTCTCTCTCAGCCCAATGGTATTTATCAGTCACTTTTAATATGCCTATATACTGGGCTGCCGTTTCTGGCTATAATTGGGTAGCCAGAAACACAGAACTTAAAGTCTGGTTAGATAACATTAAGGATCCAGTCTTCCTGTTTTTCCAGTCACAAACAAAATTTTGCAGAGGGGAGACGTATATTTTTATTCAAACCATGAGAAGTGTTTTGGCAATACATTCTGGATAGTCTGTGTTGGAAACAGGATGCGGGGGGTTAGAGTGATTTCATCTGAGGCAACAGATCTTCTGATCTCTCATGTTGTTATATTCATCTTCAGGAGAGCTGATGGATGGCCGGAGAGGCCTTGTCCCCTCCAACTTTGTGGAGCGACTGGCAGATGATGACCTGGTTACTTTCTTGCCTCAGGAAGTCCATGATCTCTCCCAAAGCTCACCTCTTGAGCGGAGTTTTCTCAGCACGAGCATCAGCAGTGGAGAAAGAAGTGACTATTCATTGGAGGAGCTCAACGCCAGCACAGCTCCCTCTAGGCTAGAAGGGGACCAGGGAGAGGGAGGTGTTTCCATTGCAGTGCCTTATCCCAGAAAGGTGACTCTAATCAAACAGTTTGGCTCTAGCCTCTTGGTGACATGGGATCCACCACTGGTGCCTAGTGGCAGCTGCTTGGATGTCCAAAGCTACAATGTCTACGTGGACACTGAACTCCAGGAAAATGTGAAGGCCAGTCCCCAGATGAAGGCCATGATTGAGAAACTGGACTTGAAAACAAAAGCCTATCGCGTCTCCATACAAAGCGTTTCAGAGAAAGGGAGCTCAGACAGACTGCAATGCACATTCCTGGTGGGGTGTGGTTTTGTCTTAGCTCCAAGTCAGCTCCAAGTGCGGAGTGTCAAGGCCACCTCCGTGGAACTCTACTGGATGCCAAGCAACAGCAATTTCACACATACTATATACCTCAATGGGGAAGCATGTGATGTAGTGAAGGCTGGCATATATTGGTACACTTTCCGCAACCTGAACCCAAACACTTCCTACGTTGCCACAGTCGAAGTCCAGCCTCAACAGACGTTTTGGAAACCATTCCCAGAGATGGAAGAACAGCTGTTGTCCACAGAGATCCAATTCACCACATCTTCAGCAGGTAAGTAGAGATATAAAGCTTTCAGAGATTCTGGAGAAGTGGGAAATGGTGATTCTTCCCTGCACTTTTTCTATTTTTTCCATCCATGTCTTCCTGCATTGACAGGTGAGTATCAAGAATCAAAGAAATGGTACTACTAGTCTCATTTATCCTTTTGCTCAACTATGTGGCAACACTCAGTTGATCTTGACTGATCTAGAAAGCTAAGGAAGGTTGGCCCTGATTAATAATGGGAAATCCAGCATTACTGGACTGGGGGAAAAAAACTTGGAAGAAGGCAATAGGAAACTACTTCCAAGTCATACCAAAAAACCCTGCATAGATGTAAGTCACCAGAAGTCACGCTTCTTGAAGGTTAGTTATTTTTGGCCCCAAACAATAAAATAATGTAAGGTAGAAAATGAGATATGATTAATCTCTTGGAGCGGCCTCCAAAAATGACATAACTTGGAGCAAATTGATCTATGTGATGCTACTTAACAATGTGTCCTGATACAATTATTACACACCTAATTTCTAAAGGAAGAGAGCCAGCTTGGTGTAGTGGTTCAGGCACAAGGCTAGAAGCCAGGAGACTATAAGTTCTAGTCCTGTCTTAGGCACAAAGCCAAGCTGGGTGACCTTGGGCCAGTCCCTCTCTCTCAGCCCTAGGAAGGAGGCAATGACAAGCTACTTCTGAAATTTTGCCATGAAAACTGCAAAGACGTGTCCAGGCAGTCACCAGGAGTCAACACTGACTCAACAACAACAACATTCTAAAGGAGGAGACCTATAGAAGGATCCCATTGATGACCTCAGTTTTGTGCTGTCCATAGATCAATAAATAGCAGGCTTCTTGGGTTCTATTGACTTTGCAAATCTGGTTAAATTTCTGGATGTAACTACAGCTTCTGCCATGAAGATACTGAGGATCAAACCTTGTATAAATATCATGTTCATTGCTTAGAAATACTGATTCCTGAGATACAGGCACATAATTAATAATATAATTAGCAAGTGATGGGAGGAAGGTACAGGTAGTCCTCACAACAACCATTCGTTTAGTGACCATTCAAAGTTAGAATGGTGCTGAACAAAGGGACTTATAACCAGTCCTCACACTTACAACCATCGCAGCACCCCTGCGGTCATGTATTGCGATCTGGGCACTTGGCAACCAGCATGCACTTATGATGGTTGCAGCATTCTGGGGTCACATGATCGCATTTCTGACCTTCCCAGCCGGCTTCCAGCAAGCAAAATCAATGGGGAACCGTGTGATTCGCTTAATGACCATGTGATTCACTTACTGACTGTGGTGACACGCCTAATGACCGCTGCAAAAAAGGTCATAAAATCAGGCGCGACTCGCTTAACAACCACCCTGTTTAACCACAAATTTTCCAGTCCCTATTGTGGTCATTAAGCAAGAACTACCTGTACTTTGTAAGATGGAAGTACTTTGTTTAATATGAGTTCATGCTCTAAAAACTGCTTCTAGGGCTGAAGTCCATTACTTAAAAATGAAAACACTCCCATTCCCATCCCCCAGTATCACACTCTGCTTATAAGCCTCCTCTTCAGCTTCAATTTTCCCTCCTTCCCCATGGACCTTGATATAACTTACTCCTTTGGGGTCTCTGAGAGGTGATTTTGTCCCTAGTCCTTCAGCCTTAGGGACCTTAGGTCAAGCTTCCTATAGTCTTTTTGGGCCAAATCGATTGCGCCATGCTGCTGTTTTTGCAGAAGAAATAGCCAGTGACTCTTTCTTCAGGGTCTCCAGATGCTCCGCTAGATGTCCGAGTGGACCCTGGCCCCACACCTGGTATTCTGGTCATCAGCTGGCTGCCGGTCACCATTGATGCTGAAGGATCATCCAATGGAGTGCGTGTCACTGGCTATGCGGTGTATGCTGACAGACAAAAGGTACCAAGCTTTATTTTGGGCACGGCTGGAAGAAAATTAAGACAGTATCATTTCCATCCATGATAGGACATCAACACTGAACATGGATGAATAGAATCTAATAGTGGCAGGATTTTCTCCAGGACCCAGTTTTGCATTCTTCCTATGCACCTTAAAACTTCAATCCATCATTCTTTATCCATTGGATTTTATTCTGAATAGAATTCTTTGTTGTACATTCTTTTAGCATGGAGGGTAGACAGTTCTGAATGCTAGGTATGTAAAATGTTTGCAGCTTGTCCTATACAGTAATGCTTCATTAAAAGGCCCACAGTGTGGCTTAAAGATCTTTGTCCTATTGCTTTTTGGGATAAGCAACATTATGTAAAGTGCAAAACACACAGAAAAGTAGTGAAGAGAAATAATTAAAGGCAGGAGATAAAAGGGGGGAAAAATTAACTAAATTTAGTTTACACCAATACCACTGACAATACCTCTCCAAATCTTTCTGTCCTTATAAATCATCCTTGTTTTCACTGCATACACCCATTTATACATTGCCTTATTACTATCTCCCATCTTTCTACTTAGAGTTCCCCCTTGCTCAGCAGTAAGAAGAAACAACCCTACCTTTTTTTTTTTCCCCAGAAGGTACCTCAGCCTTTATCTACTTTCCTACTGATTCATGTTAATTACTCTTATTTTAGGTAATGGAAGTTACCTCCCCAACGGCTGGTAGTGTCTTGATTGAGGTTTCCCAGCTGCAGATCCTCCATCTGTGTCGGGAAGTATCTGTAAGAACTGTGTCTCTTTATGGAGAATCAGTGGATTCCATGCCAGCTCAGATACCCTCGGTGTTGTTGGAAGAAGTGGGCCTTTCTTCTGCATCTCAGTTTAACTGTCTCCCTTCCAGGCTTCTGGGTGGGGAAGCACGGACTCTTGTCACACAAACCTCTCAGATACTAGGGAAAGAACTGCCTTCTGTCACTAAGAATTCAGTTGCCAAACTCACCTCCCAGCCCACCATCAGCAGTGAAAAATCTGGGGACCATCTGCATTCAGAGACATCCTCAAATGTCAGGGCTCCCTTAACACCAATGTTGCAGGCTGTGTCACCAGAACTGGGAACTCTCCCAAGAGAAGAAGGGAATTATCTCCTGCCCCCTGGAGGCGGTGTGGTGAATGAAGATCTGGCTGGGCTCAGGAAGGCTGCTTCGGAGGAATCTGGAGAAGACAACCAGGCAAATGTGATTATTTTTATTTTTATTTTTTTATATCTATCTATCTATCTATCTATCTATCTATCTATCTATCTATCTATCTATCTATCTATCTATCTATCAGTCTTTCTAGGTGGAGGTTGGGGAATGGGGAAGAATCAATGAACACCGAAATAAATGTGTTTCGGGCAACAGTGTGCCATAATAGCTACTGTGCTACCAGTTATGGATAAAGCATTGGATTGTGAATGGGGAGACCTGAGTTTGAAGTTTTTTCAACCATGAAATTGATGAGGTAACCTTGGGCCACTCACTAGCTCAGCTCATATATTGCACTAAGCCACAATTTTATCATGATTTGTCTTAACCCACATAAACCATAATTTACAAAGCTGCAAAACATTTACAAGTCAGTGTCTGGATTCACAAGGCAAGGATTTAATTTTTTAGCTGCTGTTATGTTTTTTTTTCCCTAGCTTTGTATGCCACCCAGAGTCTGTTGGAGTTGGGCAGCCATTAGATTTAAATAATAATAAATAATAATAATAAACCCAAAAATAGGTTAGTGTCCTATGTGAATCCAGCTCTTTTCAACTAACATGTTGTCAGCCCCATAGATAGACCAGACCAGGAAACCAGGAAGGCTAAAACTACTTTTTTTTGAGATTGGCTATAATAACAAAATCTTGCAAATCTGATTGTGCTGTACCTCCTCCATTTCTGATACTCCAGGGAATCAGGTAGGTGTCTGTCTGAGCTGCTTCTAAATATTACCTCATTTCTCAGGATTTAAAAAACGTTTCAGCCCCTTTTGCCTAGGTAACAGTTCTTGCATGTATCTTGTATTGAACAAAGCAGTAAAGCTATATCCTGTTCCACCAATGCAAGTCACAATCCATAATATATATCCTGAAGCAACAGCAATCAGTTTAGCTTCTTCAGCAAAACCACAGATAAACAAAAGTCTGTTAGTGTGAAGCACAATCTTAGGGGGTTTTTTATGGACAAGTGGCTTTCCTTTTTCATTCACACTGGGTTTTCCTCTAATAACCAGCCAATGGGGTAGTATCAACCCCCACCAGCCACTAGATGAGATACGTTTTCTCTTTAACTTTACAGATCCCGCTTTCTCCTACCTAATTAGGAAAAAAATACACAACTGCTAATTTCACATTTAATATATAATGTCTCTCTTCTTTTCTGCTACGACAATTTACTCCTAGGAGCCCCTGCTCACAGTTACAGAACAAGAGCCACATATTCCAGACAATAGTACTAGTAGCCTGGAGACCTGTGAAATTTGCTCTGCAGAACAGGGGTCAAATGCACCCGCAGAAAGAGAGCTAGATAACAATCAAAGCTCTCTGGGACCAAAGATGCCACCTATGGACAGACCTTCCATGCAAGAAGAAGACAGTACCAGGGAGATGGGCCAAAATGAAGGACAAACCCCAGAATCTGTAGTGGGGTCTTCTGGGAGGATGAAGCTGCTGAAAGAAGTCTCCAGAGATGACTCCTCTCAGCTGGTGCCCAGGATCAGAAGAGAGGTCTGTATTCATTGATCAAAGGCCCATTTCGTTTAGAAAACCCAACGATTCATAACTTCATACAAATTACAATGCCCTTTAGTCTTCATGTTTGGGAGTGAATGTGCAGATGTCATTCCTGTTTATATGAACAGCTTGTAATATTTCCTGTCTGATGTCTGCTAAAAACCAAATCAGCCAAGAGGTGCCTTTTTCTGAGTTTGAAAGCCTTCTGGGAAACCTTTTGGCTAAAGGACAGAATAAAATTGCTTCAAATAATACATGCCAGAACATCCAAGGGTGCCCACAGGCTATGCTGAAAAAAGTCAACATTCGATCAAAGCTCTGTGGCACCATCATGGTTGCCATCTTGACTTTTTTGACCATACCTTGCAGAAACCTCTGAAAACATCTAAATCAGTTTTAAAATGAATGTCACCCAATGGATAAATACAGTTTCATGTTGAAGGTATGCATTCAGAATGAGAGTGGTGAACTGGGAACGGGTTCAGTTAGTCATTCCAGTTCTGAAACGACAGCATTCGATTTCTGACTAATAAGCCTATCCTCTTACATTTCTCTAGCAAGGAGAGAAAAGGTCAGATCCAGGAAATCGTCCACTGAATCTTCTAACTGACCACCATCGTGGTTCTGACCTTTCTGATATTACGGAGGAAGAGGAGGAAGAGGAGGAAGAGGAGAAGGAGGAGGAGGAAGAAGAGAAGCCGGCTTCTGGTAGGCCAGGGGAGTTGAAATGGAATCCAAGTGAATACTGCAGCAGAGAAAATGGAGACAAGGTATTCTTATTTTTGCTGTCTTTATGAAGCACTTAAGGAGGAGTTGCAGATTTGCTCAACCCCTTCGAACCCCTTCACAAATTATTTGCTTATTCCTGATGTGCCCAAAACCCAGAGCACCTCCAAAATTTATTGCTGCTGATGGATAAGATTTAATATATAGAGGGGATGAAATGAGGAAACACCAAGGGAGCAGTTGTCTTAACTCCATTTCATTAACTGAATTTGAAATAAAGTATGCTTTAAAATTAAATTAGGTACAATAACGTTATGTTTTTGTCCTGGCCCCATAGCCCTCTGCCTGAAAAGAGTTATGTATTCTTCTCTACGTTTTTATGGACATTTTCTTTTATTGTATCAGTCAAGGCAACATTCATAGAGTTCCCCAAAAACATTCATGGAGTTCCCCAAAATCTCCTTCCTTAGCTTCAGACTGTATTCCAGCCTTTCTCAACCTGATGCCTTCTAGCCATGTTTGGACTGTAGCTGCCAGATTTCCCAGCCATCATGGCCTCAGCACATCTGGAGGACACCAAGATGTGGAAGGCTGAGTCAAGTATACTCTTCACACCAGCTACAATCAGATATCTTTAGGGAACCCACAAGTAGGGCAAAAATATAATAAGCTATATTGCCTATACTCAGAGATAGGCAGTTCCATTTAGCTTTCACTGCTGATTTCTACTGGTAATACCAACCTTGCTTTAATCCCCTTTTAAATCCGTCAGCTATAATGTCCAGTACCATAGCTGATGGAGATGAATTCCATGACTAATCTAATAATGGTCTGTTCAGGTTTTAACTGGGTTAATGGAGGACAGTGTGCTATAGCAACACCAGAAAGGGGTTACTTGACCCAGTCAGCTTACCCTAAGGAGAGTAAATTTAGGCCAAAACAGACTGCTGTGCCAGGGTTCAGCAACCCCATGCAGTTATTTCTCAACCTAGCAAAGAGTAGGACTACCATATCTGGACTGCAACAATCTAGCTGGATGGCAGCAAAGAGATACTGAATCTAACTTCTTCCTGCTAGCTAGTGGTGATCAGGGCTTTTGCAGCCTGGATCTGGTAGCTACCATCCTCATTTTGCAAATGTATTTCTCTAAGAAATTGGAAAGAAGGAGCAGCTGGAAAAGTGCTAGGGAGGCTGGCAGCACAGAACGCACCTCCCAAGTACTGATTGGCTCCAGCAACCAAGTCATCCTAGGACAGTGTTGTCCAGAATGCTGGAGTTGAAGTCCACTCATCTTAAAGTGGCCAAGTTTGGATAACACTGTCCTAGGATGCTAGGCACTTCCTGGAGAAAGTAGCTGGGGACATGTATTCCCACAGTGGTGATTTTTGGCCTAGGTATGGTGATTATGTGCTGCCAGAACCACAGGTAAGAAGGTTTAAACTAGGTTAATAACTGGGTTAAAGCATGTAGAGAGATTAGAGCCATTTTGTTCTGAGGAGGTACTTCCTGGGAAAAGTTCAGTGTTCTAGTGTTAGAAGAAGAGGAGGAGGAGGAGGAGGAAGAGGAAGAGAGATGTGTCACTTCACTCTCTTTGTTTCATTCATAATGTGATGAAGTGTTATCAGACTCTTGCCCTGTTAATTGTCTTGTTTTCCAACATGGGGAGGAAACACAGATTCTATAACCATTCCATGTGGGAATTATGCTTTGGCTGATGATATGCTTTTCTGTCAGATCTGCAGTGTTTGTTTGTTTTTTTAAAGTTATACATGACATTCTAGATATGGCTACTCTGACAATTTATAGGTGGCATTTAATTTCATGCCAGTTTTACAGGAGCATCTTTTGCAACAAAGACACATCTCAGAAGACACTGTGGGTTTTGGCTTCTGCCCTTGTGGTGCTCTAAGGAGGCACCAGGGTTTACCAAGAGTAGGTATTGCCATAGTACCACCATGGATCTTTTCTCTGAAATTGGTTTTTCTCCACTCTAGACATTTCTGGATTTTTTGTGGCCTCCTGACCCATAATAATGGGAGAGGGGCAAATTCCATACAGACTCCATGTCACCCACTACAGATAGGTTCAGAAGAAACTCTGGTCTGTCCTCATGATGAATTAAGAAGAGGTTCTTTCACTGGAAAAGAAATTCCAACAAAAGATCCAAGTATGGATTGAACACAAAATCCAAAGGACACAAACATCCATGCTTCTGTACAATGTCTTCGGATATATATTTCCTGCTGACTCTCCCATCCATGCACCTTTTAACAGCCTTGGTACCATTCCTATAGTCCAATCCAAAGGAGTCTGCGATCTTCATTGCTATCCTCAAATGACTGCCATTCATGCAGAAACTTCTTTAGTAGATTACCTTGATTATTCAAGAAAACATTGAGCGAGGATCTACCAGGGTCACTTCTTTTCAGAAATGTGTATGGAATTCAGCTGATTCCATTGATTCTTGCAGATTGGAGAAATCCCAAAGCTAGAGTCTAGTCCTTATGACAGAGATTAAAAAACAGGCAGATATATTCCAGGCATCTGTGTTCTGAGCCTGAAATTTTTGCAATGACTGGGGCTATAGTTTCTGTCCAATGGAAGGTTCCTAGTGCTGCCAGTCAAAAGACATTCTGTATCTATTCTGCCTTTTTCTTCCTAATAGATTTATTTTCTGGCAAGTGAAAAGATGGGAGGAAATAGTAGGAAACTGGAGGAAGGTAATAAATGAAAGATATTTGAAAACCCTGCCTCAATATTCCTCCCAAACTCTGTGCCTTGTCTTTCCATCAAGCAAGCCACCAATCTAGTGTAGTGATTAAATGCTGGATTAGGACCAGAGACCAATCTCATCTATGGAAATTCACTGGGTAGCTTTGAGCCGATCTCTCTCTTTCTGCCCAGTCTTCCTTATGGGGTTTTTCTTACAGAGATAAGAAGAAAGGGAGCCATGATGTAAAGTGCCTGGAATTCTCAGAGGAAAGGCAGGATATAAGATAGATGGATGGATGGATGGATGGATGGATGGATGGATGGATGGATGGATAGATAGATAGATAGATAGATA